TTGTGCTGAAACTGCTCCACGCAAAATTTACTTTCGCCGCTTCGTCTTGTATTTTGGAGAACTTGAACAGTCATTCTAGTTGAGACATCCTAAGTTGAAGAAATTTGTCATGAGATACAGATTTGTTCCAGAAGGAGGTATCATGCTCCCCTTGCTCCTGAAATCAATGGACGCTTCCGAAAGTGTTTTTGACAGGGAAAAAAATGGTCTTTGCTCATTTCCCAGTGGACTGGATAGGACACTAAAGGTCTTTCTGTTCGGAAATTGTCTGTCACTGAATGGACATATATAAAGCGGTTCCTGGTTGATTGAAGAATTTTTCTTTAATATACTACACCTGTGATTCCTGAAATCAATGGACGCTTCTGAAAGGGTTTTGAAAAAAGAAAAAAAAAAAAAAAAAAAATTTTGTGTTTGTTCATTTTTCAGTGGATTGGACACCAAAGAGCCTTCAATCCGGAAAAACCGTCTTCCATCTGTGAGTGAAATTTTAAGATTATTTTCTCTGTTTTCTCTTTGCAAATGCCATGGTGGACTAGTTAATAACCATTTATCCACATATATAAATTTTTATTACCGTATTTGACGGCATATAAGACGCACTTTTTTTCCTAAATTTGGTCTCAAAAAAGTTACCTGCGTCTTAAACGTGAAGGACACAGGTTAACTTTCAATACTGAATGCTATTTTTAGTCCGGATAAAGGTCTAGACACACATAACTTTTTCTACATCTACATGTGTGTGGCCTTCTAAATAAGGGTGCGTCTTTTGAATAAAAATTTGATGAGATGTTTTTACGGTTTTGGGTCTCAAATGAACCACGAGAACGAAACATATTTTCGAAACATATTAATCGACTTTTGTGAAGCTTTAGTTCATTTTCCCCTAATTTTGTATATTTTCCCTTTCGCATTTTTATTTTTCGAGATTGTTCTACTATAAATTCCCTATTAAATTCTATTAGTTCTGATATTATGTTATAACTCTTATACACGGCTGCACTTATTATTATATTACAGAAGAATTGCCTTGATTTTATTCCAATTTACTAATCAGTTTAGATACTTTAAGTTTATTTTACTTCAATCCTGCAGCTATAGCGCTAGACAGGTTTAAAAAAAAATTATTCTAATTTTTAATTCGACTTTTTAACCTATTTATATATTTCTTTTTATACATACATATACACATTTCTTATGTATTAAACTACGTTATTTCATGATATAGCCAATTAAATAATTTTATGAACACTTGCAGCATTAGAGTAATTAATAAACCATTTTCTAATACATACGCGGAATGATTGGTTTGGATAATTTAGATTAAGCCCAATGCACGCTTGGACTATCTGCCTAACGGAAACTTGGACTATCTGCCTTTGTGGAAGACTTTCAAAGAGAACTTTCTTGTATTCACGTTAATTCAGCTTTTCAATTTTTTTTTATTTCCATCTTTTTATTTCATTTGCATTTATTCTGCTGTTTTCAATGTCTTGAAATGAATTTTGGAATAATAATGATAACAATAAAATTCTTTTAGCTGCATTTTTCTCTAATCTCGAAATGACCCAGTCACGGCGAATTTTTGTTTCTACCCATTACTGTTGATTTCTTTACTGTTAAGAAGACCCACGGAAAGAGGCAGACACACTCTATTAGGCTCGCAGAAAGCACTTTTATGGAAGTTATTTACGTTATATATAATCCTAATACTTTCAGAAAAATCGGTTTATCTTGAAACAGGCAAAATTATTAAAAAAAAAACTATGTCTGAAAAGCAGTATCTGTTAAACCTTATAAATATCACCGGCAATGTATGAAAACAAGCTTTGTATAGAATACTGTATACAATGTATCCAATGTCTAGAATGTATACAATTTGTATACATTGAACATAGAATGTATACAGCTTGTATACATGTAAATTTGGTATTAAATTTTTCTGATAGAAGAATTAAGAAATCCTTTTTTTCAGAAGGCGGAAAAAAAATTGCCGAGCGCACATTGCCTAACCGAATCAACAGAGAACTAAAATGAAACGAACCTCAACAGAAAGTGAATGTAACGCCATCTGTTGTGCAAAACATAAATGAAAAAAGAAAATTTCAGACATGTTCATTCATGTTACAATTTTGAAAGCTTTAGGAAGAAACTGGACTTGAATTAAAATGGTTAGCAAAAGTACTATCTAATATTTGTGAATGTGGAAGGCTTCAACGAAATTTAACTCACCAACTGAAGAAATTTTTGAATGGTTTTAACATTATTAAAAAATATAAAAAATGGGGGAAAGGAAAAAATCTGAAAATTTTCAGATTTTAAAGATCGCCCAAAAGTGTTAAGGTTTTTTTAAACTCTCTGTCAAGTCCTAGTCTATAATTTTGCTGTTACACTGCCTTTTGCTAACTTTTTTTTTTTTTTTTTGTCTTTTTAACTTTATTATTAAAGCTAAAAAGACAAAATCGTTTCTTCGCACTTTACGCCATACAAAGAAATCACAAGTTCAACAACGAAATCAAAGTTCAAAGTTCAACAACATAGTTCAACAACGAAATCACAAAATTTTTAAAGTGGCTTAGGAGCATATGTTTAGAACCTAGATACATTATTAAATGTTCGCATACATTTTTAAAATTTTTTTTCGGTCTTGTCTCAGTTCGTCATATCGATGTTCAGTTTTCTTAGTAAGATGGCTTACAAAACTTTTTTGTGGTATTTTTATTATTATTAACCTTTTGTGTAACTTTATTTAATAAATGTCACATTCTTCGTACATGCTTCACACAATATTTAAAAATGGCATATCTTTAGAATATCCGATAGACAGTCTCGCAGACCGGAGATAAAAATGTTTCATTCCGTACAGTGTTGCCACTGCTCACTTTCAAATAGTTGAGCTTGCTAATAAAAAAAATCATTAAAGTTCTACCAAATATGAAATAAGTGGAAAAAGTATATAACATCCTTATGTGAAAATACTGAATTTTTTTAATTATAGGTCATGAATTAAATGCATTTCTATTATTTAAATCAATCCAATTCAAAAGTAAGAAGCAAATGTTCTTAACTTTCGGACAGATTAGTTTATTATTCTACAGCAGACAAATTCAGCTGGAACGAAAACGAAATAGCTTACATTTTGCGGAATGGCAACAGACTCGTAACAAAAGTGAAATGGCGCATTTATTGTGATTCCATGCGAATTCCCATTAAAAAAATTCCTCTATTAACTTCCTCTATAACTTATAACTTAAAAACTCTATAACTTAAAAAAAATTCCTCTATAACTCTGTTATAACTTCTGTTACCGTGAAAAGCTTCAAAACTTTTTTCTAAAACACGCTATATCCGTAACGCACGAAACATGTAAGGAAATATTGTTGCGATCAAATCGAAAAAGTGAAACTTATGCGCAACGAAATGTTAAGAAACAATTTCTGTTGAGGAAAGAATGCTCCTTGACCATCGCAATATGCATAGTTAGAATGAGGTTTAAGTTAATGGGGCCAGATTCTTCTTCTGCACCTCTGACCTAAAATCTTACGTTTTTGTGTTTAAAAATCCCCTCTCCCACACACACACTCTCGATCCCTCTTTATTACATACGCTCTTTTATTTTCTTCTCCGATTTCCTTTCTTCTGATGTCAGAATCATAATAAACCCATAGCGAATCATTGTTCGAAAATCTTTTCCGAAGATTACTCCTTTCTTTTTCCTTCTCTTTTCTTTTTCTTTTTAAAATTTCTTGATATACTCTTATTTATTTCTTTTACTGGTTGCATTTCTTGAGGAAGCTTTCACAAAAGCTAAATTCCCGTAATTATTTGTAGGTTTCATTCACCACCCAGCAAAATATCCTCATTAATTATACAGTAGAAGCCTTTTAATGTGGTTGCGTTTAATGTTATTATTCGGATACTGTTATCGAATGGTCGAAGTCCTGCCTCCTTTTTATACGGGAAATGCATAGCCTATTGGGATCAACAGTTCGGTTAATATCATCAAAGTATTGGATTTTAGTAAAATTTTGATTAACCAACGCGGCGATTTGAAAGCAATGTGTAGCCACTGCTCGAAATAAAACTGTTGTTCTTCTGCGCGTCTGTGTGTTGCCTTTTGGCAAAGTGTGAGCTATTTATCTTTCAAGTTTAGTCAACAAACAAGAATTTTTAAAAATTTTAAAAAAAAAAAAAATTAAAATAAATCTTTAGAAAAGCAAAATCTGAAAGGGTCAAGATTTTAACGGTCGCCCAAAAGGGTTTGTTAAGGTTTCTTTACGTTCTTGCTGGGCTTGCAGTCTACCAGTCTCCTGTTGCACTTACTTGTGCTAACTGACTTCTTTTTATCTTTTTATTAAACATGATTTTCTTCCCACTTATATGTAAGTATTAAGTTCAGGCATCCATTTTTATACATTTGTCAGTCTCTTCTCAGTTTATTATATCAATGTTCAGTCTTCTTATACGGCTTCCAAAACTTATTTTTTGTCTTTTTATTTTGTGTTTTTTTGTCTTGTGCATGTATTTCACGGAAATTGTAAGAGTAATTGATTGTCAGAGCCTCAAGCAGGTTAAACTGCTTCCAATTTTGACGAACAGCCCCTCGGGAGGGGGCAAGGGTATCGCACCACTCTCCCTACCACCAAACCACACGAAAGGACTTTCGGCTCGCCATATATTTAGAGTGCCCCCATGCCGTAAACACTATTTCTACAAACATCAATACCTTCTCCGGGATTCAAACGCGGACCGCATTACGCTTCCCTAACCACTATACCGTCTGAGCGGTATTTTAAAAATTTATTAGCTAAATATCATATTCTTACCCCACATACAATTCAGCAGCAAAATCACAAAATATTTAAAAGCAAGATATCTTTAGAATTTCAGATAGGCAGTCTCGCGCACTGGAAAAAAAGTTGTTTTATTCCGTTCAGTGTTGCCACTAATAGCTTTCAAATCTTTGAGTTTGTTATTATAATTCATTAATGTTTTATAAAATATGAAATTCCAAATTCAGAATTTAGGCATCGAAGTGTCCATGTTCGGGTGGAGGACTATGTTATTCAAAATTACATAATGCTAGGTACCGTCGTTTTTACAGAGTGCGAGGAGCATACATTCATGCAGATTCTTCATTATTTAATTTCTTTAAAAATAATACAGAGCGATAATAGTATTTGGTAAGAACAATTTGGAAAGTAATTCACCATTCATAGAGGAAGATGCAAAATCCTGTTTTGAGATTAATAGCCCATTCGGACTAACGCCTTTTTGCGCTAATAAATATAATCTAAAAGGAAATTTTTTGAAACTGAAGCAAGCTCGCCAAAGAAAGTCAAAATGGATTATAAAAATAACCGGGTGACACAGAAATGTCGCCAAAGAAAGTATTAAATCACCAGGCAGCCTTTGAGTGTCCTCCGCCGAGGCATCTCTTCCTTAAGCAGTTCGCTTTCGTTCTCTTTCTCGGATTCGAAACTCAAGTCGACAATATCCTAACTTTGATTGCGTCTTTTAGGTCGGATAAGACTGGTACTATATTTATTTCATATTACGACTTTTCCACACCGGGCCCGCATTTTTAAACCCCATTTGCTATAAAGGTTTTTTAGGCATATATTTTTTTATGTGGATTCTCCCACGAAATGGAATCATTATTTCATCAATAGAGTGCTTGGTCTCATCTGAAAAGGATAGACTGTCTTCTCTAAGTCTAGACAACCACGGTAGCACATTTGTCACTTCTAACATCATCACCAATTTGGTGAATTATCCGCAATATGCAAAAATCTTAAGATTTTTTCAAATCTGTTTCTAGACATTACGTCTGCAATTGATTCATACTTTGTTCCCTCTTCCCAATATCCTCTTATAAGAGGTATACGGACTAATCCTATTATGATAATTTTTCCTATTATTTCATTTGCTGTCACCATAAGCGAAGTTCCTGTTTGTTGAATACTATACAGATTTGTTTGTTCAACTAATAATTTTATCATATCTGTTGATATGACAATCTGAAAATATGCAAGAGCAGATAGAAGAGGTTCTGTAGGATCAGGAAAGTTATCATCATTTGATGAAGGCATAAGATTATGTTCTTTTTTCCTCCAAAGAACTTTTAAATTTCTGTAGCTCTTATGTAGATAGACACTTTCTTCAATATTTGATGCATTTTGGTCATTTTCTACATCTTCATTATGATCTTGGTCTTCATCATCTGAGCTTTCTTCGTGGAAGATATCAGACCTTTGTGTAGGCATATATTCATCATCAGAGTCGTCATCAGATGTACTGGATCCAAACCACTTTCCAAATCATTCATATATTGCATATTCTAGTTTTTTAAACCCATTTATTTCTCTTACTTTGTGGAAAAAGGGACCTGAACTGCATGGCTGAAAAAAAAAATTCAAGATTATATTCAAAATTTTATTAACTATTATTAAATTTTTATTATTTTTTTTAAATTTTTCATTATTTTTAAAAAATTCAATCAATAAATAAAATGCAATATATAAAAGAACTTGAGATTTAATAAGGATTAAATTTATTTTTCACTTAAATCTCAAAATGAATTTTCCTAGGGACTTTTTTACAGGAAAAATATATCTTAAAAAATATTTTTTAATTGAAAAATATCAAATAAAATTTAAATCTATAAATTGTATTTAATCTGCAAAATTACAAAGATTAAAGGTCAGGAACTAATTTCAATGTAAAAACATATTTTCTTTCAGAGAACTGATAGGCTTAGATACACGAACGCCCATGGTAGCAGATTTGCTACCATGATTTTAAAAATCCATTTTAGCATTAAAAACCATAGTTTTGTAAACCTTATTTCATACTGTGTGATACATACTTTTTTACTTTATATAAATAGTAATTATTAACAGTTTTATTAATAGAATGCTTGTAAAATAAACAAACAACTTACGTCTGAAAAGGTGCTTGCATTGTTTGCTGCACCCATGCTTCATCAATTTTTTCCCCTTTAAGCTGGTATTGCTATCTATGCCTAAAATTTGCTAATAATACCTGAGGAAGGTTCATTTTATAAATTTATGACAAAAATTACATTCCATGGCGTTCCTGCTATGAAAAAATGGCGTTTAATATATGGTAGCAAATATGCTACCATGGGCATTAAAGGGTTGCCTTCAAAATTAACATTGCAGAGTCATTTGGCTATTTTGAAGAAGGAGACTTGAAAAATTACATCGCCCTCGCCGGGATTCGAACCCTAGACCTCTCGTATACGCTTCGAGTATGCTTCCAGTTATATCACGAAAGCATGCGCAGAGGGGAGAAAATACTCTATATACTTCCCTTTTTAAAGGGCGACTAGGGATTAGGGATGCAGTTGTCAAATCCTGGTGGTGAAGAATCATCATCTACCACCTTTTAGTTCGGGCGCCACTTGTAGAGTCATTAGGTTATTTTGAAGCAGCAGACGTGAAAAAGATGCATTGCCCTCGCCAGACACCTGGATACCTGGACTTCTCGAATACGTATTACACCACGAAGACATGCGGGAAAAGGAGGGAGAAAATATCTTATAACCTAACATAATATAAAACTTAATATAATAACTTAACCTTATCTTTTAATAATATCGAACAATCTGCTGTTTTCTGTGTGTATGTAGATTCTGACAATTTAATTGCTTTAGAAATTTAATTTAATCCGTTTCTCTACTGATGATTCGTTGAAATCCTAACCAGCAACTAAGAAAGTTCGTGGAACTCAATCGTGGGTGCGGGTTAATACTCTCCGACCCCAATCACTTCAACATAGAATCTTCCGTGTACGCATCTTCCTCGACTCATTGAATACCGGGATCACTTTTTAAATGCCTTTAATTCCCCTTTCCCACACAAATCACTTTTAAATGTCTCTGTGACTGTCTTGTGCTTTCACCAGGAAAGGATTGAACCTGTCAACGTGTAATTATTTTAAAACAGATCTTCCGTTTCATCTGTAAGCGCATTAACTTTCAATATCTCTGTAACAATAGGCATTTGAGATTAAACATGCATTTGATTTTAATGCAGGAAAGTGTGATTATAAGTACTGTTCAATCTAAACAGCAATCAAATCCTGAAATTTATGGACTCCAAGGGAACTTCTTTCTTTCCGTTGATTAGCTGTACAACTGCACGCATTTGACAGAAATTCAAATTCCGTGCTGTTTTAAGTTCTAAAAATTAAATTCTCAACTCCATACATAAAGGCCTCATTTCGGATATGAACCTCTGGAGTAAATATAGGATTCCTTGCCAGTGTGGTTTAATTTACACTGGTCGCACTAAGCGATGTTATGAATGAATGAATGTTATGTTTATGAAAAAGATTTTGTTTTCATACTTCTGCTCTATATAAAACATTTTGAGGAGGCGGGTCTTAATTTTTCATCAATAGAAGGCGCCAGTAGCTTAACGTTCTTCCTTTTATTGTTACTGCTTGAGCACAGGTTTCTCTTTCGTCATTTGCACTTCTGCAGCTGAAGAACGTTCTGTGTCTAAACCTTCGAAACTAACCCTGTAAATTTATTAATACAACCCAGATTCGTGTTGCTTTATCACCTCGAATGTTACGGTCTAGAATTACCATGGTTTTCAGTGGGCTTACGTTTACCATATTTGGGGGTGATTACCTTGTAACGTATTTCGCAGTATTTAACAAAATAACAAATTATCTTCTTAGTAAAACATAAATTTCATTTTTAGTTTACGGAGATAGATAATTTGAGTACAATCTTTCAGTTACATATTTTTCATACATCTACTAACTGGTAAAACATTTAGAATTCCAATTTTTAACAGTTTCTTACTTTGCTGAGCAACGGTTACATGGTACAAATATGGCGTTTCCACTCCAATAATAAATATAGTTATTTGTTAAACAATAAAATATTACATAATTAAATGTAATAAAATATTACAACTTGCTTATTCACCTCGGAAAATTCAATTTAGTTAACAATCAAATTAGGCAAACAGATAGGTATGGCAGTATGACTCAACAGAATATTTCCAAAAAGCGCAGATTATACCTGTTAATCACACTCCTATTTAAATTTACTCAGGATGTGAAAACTGAAAATAAATATTTTTGGGAGATCATGTAGAATCTCTACAACACTTGATTACTTTGTAGAATCATTAGGCTGTTTTGAAGCAGAGGGCATGAAAAATGCGCAGTGCCCTCTCCAGGATCTGAATCTGGACCTCTCGAATACGCACCGAGAGTGCTACCGTTACACCATGAAGGCATGCTGAAAGGAGAGCGAAAATACCTTATAACTTAATTCCTACACATATCAGTTATTTCAGAATTTCGAGCAAATATGACTGTTTGATAATACGTGCATGACAGTTACAGAGATAATATTCTAATGACATAAGAACAATTAAAAAAGAAAATTTCGAATCCCAATGATAGCTTAGCATTGCTAATTTTTCATTTTTCCTGTTCAGATGAGAGAGATTATACAGTGAAGTCTCCAACATACCGATTGCAATGCGTCAATACTTCACTTGTCTTTTAAAAGAGCAAATCCTCTTTGGTTGATGGTGTGCTCACTTATGAGCATTCTCTTCTTTATCGCTGCCTGCATTAACGTTTTTCGAGCAACAGTGTCCTTCAAAGGTCCATCCATTAATTCTCTGAAACGATAAAATCTTCTCCAAAAATTATCTCATTACTTTCTGGAGAATATAAGTTGATTTTTAGCAATCTTTCTTCCAAAGCCCTGACAGCTGGAGGATTATCTTTTTTGTACCTGAAACTTAGTGAACGGCAATTTTCGCTGTTGTCTACTTAAGTAACACTTTCGTTCTGGTCGATGAACTTGCACATACTTTGGGCTATGATCTCCAACTGAAGACCATAACTTATCCTCATGTACGATGCCTTTTCCGTATTCCGGGATTCCACTTCAAGACCAACGATATGGCAGCAAACATCTCTAACCTCTATGTCCAACCAACAGGCGGCTACATTTGGCTACATTAGGTACAGGCATAGATAATAATGGACACCAGATTTGATTTTCGGCTGTACAAGTATAGCCCAGCCTTACTAACTATGCAGCTCCTAATTTCAATGGAGAACATTCCCCCGGGGGGGGCGAGGATTACATTTGCAAAAAGAAAGTCCATGCTTTTTCTAGGATTCAAACCTGAGCCCGATGATACGATAGCTGATACCGCTAACAAAATTGCCAGTGACAGCGACTTTTTAAGGGCTTAGGATTTCCAAATGAAGCAAAAGTAGTCGGCAAAGAATCATGAATAATTCAATATCCAATTGGATTTTATTATTATTATTTTATTCAACGAATAAAATAACTTCTGTTCGACTGCAATTAATAATCAGCGCTGGCTGATACCATAAGCACAAACAGGCATTCGTCTTTGGACAGATTTGTTGATGAAATACGGTGGATCGACATAGATCACGTAGTCGGGATTTTTTCCGTTTTTATTTTCTCCCTGTTTATTTTCACTACATTCGAAAAGCACATTTAAGGATGTAGAAAATTAATTTTAAGTAATCTAAAATAATATGCTGATCATCCTTTTTAATTGACTGTTTGACTGTATTTAATTTTGTGCATTTATGTACTTATTAAATGTTGTATGATCTTAAATTCACTTAGTGCGAAATCGAGTTATTCTACTATTTGCGCAATTGCTGCAAAGTAAGTTAATAATAATTTATTTACTAAATAGTATGGATTATATTATCTCCTAAGATTACTTTTAGTAGAATTATCTTAAAAGAGTGAATTCATACTTAGCAAGTTCTATTTCGAAAGATGTTTTGAAGTAACTTGAATGTAAATTGTTAAAAATGTTTAACGGAGACTTGAATTAAATCATGAATAACAAAATTCCAGTTGTAAAAAGAAATAACTTAAAAGCAAGTAATTAAATTAAATGCAAGTAATCATTGCATTAATGGGAAATTAGTTGACTTTTCAAGGGGAACAAACCAACTCCTGTTCAATGAACAATAATTAAGAAATAAATACGAAGGTGTTTCGTCCTTTACTCGAGCAATAAGGCGATGCCAAACCGTCAATTCAAGCTAGGCCAAACATTTTCGTGAATAGAAGGGATTAAGAACCAATGCAGAGAACCAAAGAACTCGTTCCGATTAAGCATTTTAGCTAATTCAATTTTGAGTGAAAAGCAATTTCTGCAGTAATATATTGATAATAATAAGAGTATTTTCAAAGCTTAATTTTGCTACATATGCATAATTTTATGATAAAGTGTAATAAACAACTAATATTGTATAATCATTGTGATTGCAATTATTTACGTATGATATTTTATAGTATAATTTTCATTACAATGAATTCTAATATAATAATAATTATAAATGA